CTACATGTTTTATCTTTCCAAATCTAAAATTTTATTGCTCTGGCCCTCATCCCTAAAACATGGTCAGATCCTGACAAGCCCCCAGAACTTGATATCAAACAGGGTCCCCCTGCGTAGGGTCCAACGTTACTTCGATGACTTCCCCATCCTGAGTGCGGGCGACGAGTGCTAACAGATCGACGCGTTGATGGACAAGTTGTTTGAGTTTCTGGCATACAATATGCCAGGGACGGTAAGAAGGCGGTCGAGTTCCAGAAGACTGTTTTTGCTGCCCTTGGCTTGCTGTTCGACGTATCTGAGTTATGCGCAAGCTTTCAGCCCGCGCTTATGGTTGTGACTCGACGGTTCGACAGGCTGAAGGAAGCCTTGAACGAACTGCTTCGTAACCCGCTTGACGTCATGACGCAACTTGTACATCTTCAGGGATGGATCCTTTGAACCTGATAGTGATGTTACTGCTGGCGTTGGCGGTGTCATATTCGATGACGCAGGTTCTCATCTACATTTCTTCAGTGATGAAATTCCTCCTGAGGTCCTGCAGTATTTCCTGCTTGGCCCTAAACACCCGGCGAACTGTTTACGCTGTTTTGATTGTTCTGGAGCTTTGGCAAGGCATGCTTTTCAATGCCCTCACTCTGGTATATGTGGACAACGAAGCGTCGCAGTCAGCCCTTGTCACTGACCGCTCAAGTGCAGAGGAAGGCAGAGGAATCATACAAGGTGTAACAAGTTGTGAGCGATCCTCAGTTTGTCGTCCGTGGTTCGGCCGAGCAGGGGAGCATTGGCTGAAAGCTGGCGCGGTCAGGGCTGACATCACGGGCTTGGGCCACTTGATGGACCGTGCCTGCGTGTGGACGACCCTAGCCCTAGCTACATGCGGAAAGGTGAGGAGGGGTAAATGGGGTGCGTGTGGATGATGCTCATCGAGCCCCTTGTGGCCGTGGCACTGCCCCCGAAAGCGGATCCATGCGACGATAGGGAACCGTACAAACCTTTTGGATTCCACCCCTGAATCGGCCACAGACGTGAAAACATCTGAGTGAGCGTGTGCGAGTACCGATACAGGAGGAATGGAGTCGAATATTCATGTTCCGAATCATTTCAAGTTGAACAATTCCTGTGATATTGAAACATATTGAAAGAACATGGTCCTCCCTGATCTGGAATAAGCCAAGTGTTTTGCCAAGCGTTTTCAACATAAACATGTTGATGTCTGCTAGGCTCAAGCAACACCCGACCCTCCAGTAGCTGGTCCAGCACAGTGAGAAAAATCAGACCTTTTCTGCCAGAGTTGATTGCTTGTGAAAAGTGAGCGTGGCGCAACTAGCCGTGATTTCGAACATGCGTGCGCAACGTTGACACACGTGAGCAATTCGCTTGCCAAAGTCAAGTGTTACCCTTCGGGGGCAGAACGATCACTGCAAGGTTTCTACGGCGTCGCCGGTTGTTTATGATTGTGGCGCTTGATGACCACCCAACTGCTTCGCGCAACGCGTTGTATTTTGATGATGTTTTCATGGACAGCAGGCTGGACGAGCTCAAGCAGATTGAGCTGACTCAAGCAAGCTTTTTCTCTGGCCGATGGGCTGGGACACGTCTTCTGAGAAAAAAACAATGGCTTTAGTCCTATCGGGAGCGGAGGTGTACCTTTCGGACGCTAGGGTTGGTTTGTTCCACGTTTGAAAACACTAATACTATGCAACTTTTGTTCTTTAGGACAATTTCGGACATCATCGAGAATGATGGTGCGCCGGTTAGGAGTTCTCAAATCTTTGAGAAGCGGCTGAATTTCGCTGAAAAGCAGCTATTCGGTCACGCTTCGTGCAGGCACATGCAGATCATCTCTGGTGCGTGCAAGTCCCAGGCCATGTCATGAATGATGGATTGATCGTTTCTCGCATTTACTTTAACTGAAATTGTGTGGTCGTGAGTGTCTCAACGGTTGTGTCCGCATCCACGCACAATTGCCCCCACCCCTACACCGATGAATCGTATCAGGATACTCGAGGTGGACTGGGAGCCATTCTGTTCAATGACAATGGATTTTTTTTGTGTTGGTTCTCCGAGCTTACAAATGATAACCGGGCGTCAAGCTTGAAAGTTAATCAGAAGAAGGCTTCATCTATGAATTGGAAGCTGCAGCCGCGGTAGGTGGAGTTGTCTAGCTGTGCAAGTCTATTCAGAGTGCGGACATTGTGGTCCTTTGTGATTTTGAGGCCGTGTTTGGTGCCCTCATCAAAGGGAAGTCGGACTCCCCTCTGTGCCTGAATTGGCTGAATTCAAAGCAGCCCATGATCTCAACTTGTGGTTGGGAAGGGTGCCCGGCGCCCCAAACCCAGCAGACCTTCCGTCTCGTGGTGAGATCAGTGAATTGCCGGCTTCCTTTTGCGGACAAAGGGAACCCTTTAGCCTCACGTGTTGGAATCTCTGCCGGAGACTTGCGGCATGTTCCGACTTGCAGGGGGCTTTGACAGTTGCAGGAATTACATTCACATTTTTTTTTCCGTATGCTGTCTCTCCATGTGCCAAAAAAAGGGTTGTTGTGTGTACTGATGTGATTTTTGAATACGTGGGTAATATCATATTCCGATGCAGCTCCTGTTCTTCTAGATTTGAAACTTGGTTTATGCACCTTCAAAGACGAAACGAAGCATCGTTTTCGGCATTGCATCGGGAACGTGCACGCGTTAACGAATGCGCAGTCTTCAATTCTTTGTCAGCATTGGCCCGATGATTGCTTTCAGGTTTGCAAATCGTGGTGTTTGGGTTTTTCTGTGCGGGATTCGGGTTTTATTTGCCGTGTGTTGTTTAAAAGCCACCTCGTGCATGTTGCTGCAGGCGTTGGGCTTGGAAGCGTGTTTTGTACGAACACTAGTCATGTTGCGCAAAGAAAGACGAGGAACCTGCATTTGCCCTTTGATGTTTTTCGATCATTCGACCTGGTTGGCTTCAGTGGGAGGTGGATACCGGGATTACGATTGGTTTTGGACGAAGGGTTCTTAAACCATTAGTTTCTGGTTGTCCAAATTTGGTCGTTGTGTTTGGCATTTGTTGCACAGTGCTCAATTCAATCGTGCTCGTGTGGATTTGGACACAAGCAGGTAGTTGATGCCGAGATGATGCGGACAAGCTAGCAGCATGAAAGATAATGCAATGAAATGAGAGCCATGGTTGAAATATGTTGAAATCAACAAACACAAAATCACATCGATATGTTCTTTCATTCAGAAAGGCTACCGGTGTTGAATTTTACTGCTTGTTGCCCAGTGCTGTAATTGTTGTTTATTCGGCTGTCGTGATCTCCACATCTTTTAAGCGTTCTATTCAAACAACCATACTAGTCACCCCCTTCTCAGTGCGGGTGTTTAACCGAATCCGGATTGGTTCTTGTGCGAATTATTGTGATAACGTAACATCTTGATAACCACGTAATATTCTGTTCGGCCAGCCATCCATTAATGTTTTACCCTTGAATCATGCCTTGTTGCATACCCACAAGCAATGTAAGGCACCGAAGGAAATGGTTGAATTCATGCTGCAACCACGCTTGTTCTGCAGGACTGGCTGTGTTGCTGCTGGCTGCTGCCAGCGTCTTCGTTGTAAGAGAAGGGGCGTGCAGAGCCTTGTCTTAGTTCTCATTTGTAAGTTCATGTCTGAGTGCTGGGTATGCCGAACGTTTCGGTGATGATTCAGGTTCAACATTTACAGGAGCATGCATCAACACATTTTTTGTTGATGTCATGTGTTTACAGTTGCTACTCATACTCAATGCTACTCGTTTGCGACTGAAACCCAGTCAAAAAAATGAGGCCGACGGCTGTGGCTGATGATCGGGTAACCCTGGTTCGTGTTCGCACTTGCGTTGCGAATCTGCGACAAGTGAAATTTTTAGCAAGGCACTGTGCAGCACTTTGAGGTTTGAATGGGAACTTGCAAATCGTCAGACAGGTGTTATCAGCTGGCTATTGACAACAGGGGAGTTCTGAGTCAGCTTGGTGTTCTTCCTTACTTCGCGGCATGCACCTGATCTCATGCCATCGCCAAGGATATGGGTCACCTGCCTTTGTGCCGCCTGCAGCGAGCAACGATCTCATCAGGACCATCGCGATTTTTGGCAACGGCATTTCCACGAGTTATTGTCAATACTTGTGGCAATTTTCCGGTGGTTGTCAATGCAGTTACCTGCTACTACTGTAGAAGATGTCGAATTTTGCAATGATTTTGTTTGCCGTTTGATTTGTTGCGTCATGTTGCTTCTCAGTTGCACTGGTGTAGGGAGTGTTTGCAGTTTTGCAGCTATGCAGGCCAGGGGCAGGGTCTGTTCGCTCAGCATTAATTTAGCGTGAATTCGCAGTTCTTGCTGCGATTACATTCTGATGCTATAGTGGTGGTGGTAGTTGTGGTGGTGGCGGTGATCATGGTGCCAGAGTGGGTCTGGTTGGGGAAGTGGTCCCCCTTGGTGCTTGGTGTCATGGCTGTTGTCGCTTGTTGCCGATACCGCTGCACTGGAGCTGGTGTTGGTGTTTCTGATGCTGTAGTGCCTTGGCTGTTGTTTCAGCATTTCATCATTCGCTCATTCGCGGGAAGGCTGCAGAGCTGTGCAGATAGAAAGAGCATGCACAAGTGGTAGCTGCTCGCCTACCACAAGCTCGTAGTCTGGTTCTGCATTTGATGCACGCAGGTTGACGTTACCGTTTTCGGAACATACAGATCCAGCCAAAGAACCAGGTTGCGGGCCATGCTTTAACTGTTCAAAGGACGCAGGGGTCGCATGCCGTCGTTGTACCACAGCCGGTTCCTCAGGCAGGTTCATGTTGAAACTGGCAAATGTAGTACAGCTTTCACGATCAAATACATACATATGTAGGTTTGTATAGATGTATACTTGTATTTATGTGTATGTGCCTATAGGTATATATGTATGAGTGTACATATTTATTATGCAGAAGGCATATCTTGTGCTGAGGCCGGCCATTGCGCTTGCTGGTTTGGCCCCACTGATGCTGGCACCCGAAGCCAGTGCAACAGCCCGAGAGTCTGCAAGGTGTATCAAGGTGTCCGCCGCAGATGCGCAAAGACTTTGATTTTAAGGCGATGCTGGGTCACGTTTCTTGCTTTGCAATCCAGTGTTGGTACGATCCGATACACAGTTTTCCAAGGTAGCACAGGGTTGGGAAGCAGCGGTGATGCTGCCTCTTGAGCTGATCAACACAGGCGCCTTCAGCTAGCGATGCTGGCGAGAGCTGCTACTGTAAAGTTGGCACAGGCTTGAACCTCTTCAAGACTGCTCTTGGCATCTATGCTCTTATGAGCCACTTGACTGCAGCTCCTGCTCAGCTCAATGTTTCGTTTGCAGGTGCGTAGAGGCTGCAGCAAACATGCTCCTATGCCCGTTGTCGATGCTTTGTGCCGACTCTGTGACAGAAAGGGAGCCAGCTGGCGAGACTGCCCAGCGGCGAAAACTATGCAAGCCTCCCACCCCCAAGTGCGATGAATCTCAGGCTGGCTCTATGCTTTTGGAATCATTGACATGCGAAATGTGATGAACTTAGTTGCAGTCAAGAGGGTCCAATACTGCAGAGAGGAGAGGGATTGCATATGAAGCATAGAACATGAACAAAAAGTGAAAAGAACCAACATCCATAATGCATGGCAAATCTGTTCATCAAGGTACCTCTTTTCTTTTGAAAGAAAGCTGAGAGGTGAGCATCAGTTGCACGTGCGATGAGTGAATGCTTGTTGATTTCTTATGTATTTAGTCAAAGATGGAAGTGCTTATCCGCTGAGTTGCAGTCCTCGTGATTGTCGCAGTCAAGACACTGTGTTTACGCATCCATGCATCAGGAGCGGGTCAAGAGGTGAGGGAGTTTGCTAGACGGGCGCTCAGGATATTGTCATGAAGGTGCAGGGCGCGCTTTCGTCCGTGATCGATCCGGTACTTAACCCATTGCGGAGCATCATCCCCCCGACGCTTGGCTCACCGAAACTGCGCTGTCCCAAAGTGACTTTGCAAGAGCTGGAAGTGAACACCTGGCCACTCCAAGGTTGGGTGGCTTCGATATCTCCTTCATGATCCTGTGGCCCTTGCCTCAGAACAACCTTGGAAGGTGTTCATGGTTTTGAGGCCTGTGGATCTAGTTAGTTGGACATGGAAGTTCCTACAACACAGCTGAAGATGAGTAGCAAGGTCTCATATAATGAGGGATACAAGTGGCTTTCCAATTGCGCCATCCTGCCCTCTGCTGCTCGAGGTTTGTGATCGAGCAGGCACAGGCTGCTGCGGTGACCATCATGTTCGGACACTATGCAGCAACATTCTTGGCGATGTCTCCTCACAGAGTAACTTCAGCCGCAGCTTCTAGTTTCCATCGGTGACCCGATATTTCTGGATGAGTGCTGACGACAGACTTGGAACCTCTACCCTCAGGGGTGCCGTGAACGAAGAAGACTGCTCTAATGACGGGTCCAAAGACTATCACACCCTAGCTTTACGTTGGTTTCAGCAAGCCGAAACTTCAAATCAGCCCAGCAGCTTCCGTTCCAAACATCAACTTGGGCCACTAATCCAGATTTTGTGAAAGTCGTCTAAGCGCGAAAACCGAGCCGCACGTCGCTTCATGGATCTAGCATCCAGTGGGTGTTTGGGGCCAGGGCCAACGGCACCCATTAACCTATACCTTGCAAATGCAAATTCCACGAGTGCTCAAGGAGCAGCCAGCTACGGCAATTACTACTACTGAGCTGCTGCATGTGATTGGCAGCCATGAAGGTTGCTGAGGCAAGAAATTCAAGATGGTGTGCTTTCATCAGGTCAGTGGCACTGGTTCAGCGTGTTGACTTACCACGGCCCCTGCAAGCACGGGGACTGTAGGATGCCTGTGGAGGCTGCCCATGGCTCGGGTGCAGTAGCACAGATTCAAGATGCTACTTAGTTTTACGCTGCCAGACAAGCGAAAGCAAACAGTCCAGCAGGCTCTGCATTGTTTGCAGGTTTCAGAAGTTTGAGTCAATTCCTTGCTTGCTTAGCAAGCTTAATGCGCCAAGCTCTTGTTCACGAGATGCCAAGACACCTGCCCACAATTCTTTTAAGCACCTTTTTCCAGGTTGATGGTTGCCAAAGATACAGAATTCGAGGATGAACAGATGCATGCACGCTTTTCGGCATGTGCCCCTGTCCGACTGCGGAAACAATGGCCTGCTTTGGTTTATGGATCCAGCCGAGGTCTTGCACATCGATTACATGGATTCTGGTAAGCAAATGTTCAGCTTGGGGCTGACCGTGGGCGGGAGCGTTGAGCAGTTTCGTACTCATCCTTTGAGATGATTTCGTGTTTGCTGGGTCACGGCTCGGGAGCTTTGAGGCTTATTCATGTGCACAGGCTACACTGTCAGAAGGGTGGATTTCCTAAGGCGCAGTTTGCGCTTCTACCACACAGCTGCAACATCCTCCGGCTCATGGCTGGCATTGGCTGGCAAAAGCGGAAGCGCTCGTTTAATAGACTTTCCACCCGTATAGACTTGCACTGTACATCTCTGACCATTGCCAACAGTCAGAGCACGGATTCCTGACAGCATTGGAGCCCTGGTTCGTGCGGCCATGGTGTTCCCCGAGGCACTCGAAACACTTCTGCGTAGTGGAGTCAGGACCAAGCGCTACAGGAAGACATGACGTGGGACTGAAACAGCTCATGGGCATTGGAGTGGGTAGTAGTTTGGAAATGACTTTCAGTTCATTCACCCAGGCCCATGCCCTCTCTCAGTCCAAGCGATTTGCGGCAAGGCTTTTGGACTGGCGGCTGCAGAGATCTTCCAGTACAATCGACCCATGGCTGCGGGCGTTGCTTATCCTTACTGCAGGTGTCGGAGTTTTTCCCACGGCTAGAGCTAGAGCAGTTCCCCTGAGTGGAAAGAGCGGTCTGGATTCCCCGATTCCACAATCGATTTGGAAGGTGTGAGAGGGCATGTAAACAACATGCCCTCAGGCATGAGACCAGGTATTGAGTGGTAGATTTTGCCTTTTAAGACTTCAGATTCTGTATGATCTGACAGGGTTAGTTATCGGGCTAGATTTCGGAAGTACAGCTGTAGACCTGCAGCCTCTCGCGATACTTGCTTGCAACCTGGAAGCTAGTGGCTTATGATGGAATCAGTATTATGGAATACTCCAGCAGTGTGGCTGACAGTCTATGCATAATAAATGACCGCCGAATTTCACCAGAGCAAAGTTCAACATTAATGAACCGCGAGCGAGAAAGATCATGTAACTTCAGTAGTAGCATCTGCAAACCGGCATGTGTAGAATCCACCATATTTGGATTAGAATGACTAGACTATTCAGACACCAAGCGACTTCCGACTTCTTTTGCTATTCGTCAGCTGTTTTCTTGCTCAGGGGGCAAACATCCCAGGCATGCGCCCCAACCCTCGACTCTATGAAGGTGTTTCATAGATTGTAATTGTGCCAGTTGCACCAGCCCTGACATGAATGTCGCATGGGTTTTGTAAGTGAAGATTGCCACACGGCAGGTATGAGTACTTCTTAGGGGCAAGCCGTAGATTGAATGAACAGTGGACGCTCAGGAGAGAACTTCCAGTTTGACAATGAGCAGCGAATCAGCAAAGATGTGCTCCCCCAGCATTGATTTCACTCACGGGCTAGGGATTGCAGCTGCAGAGTGGCTCTGGTGTATACGGGTGTGAGGCGGCTGTGAAGCAATGGCTGATGCGGTTGATTGCTCATTTGGGTTTTACTTGCCTGGAAGGTAGGTAGGGACGGTAGGGCTGTTACTGGCTGCCTAGAGGGAGGCTGGCTGACCGCTTGGTCACCGGTCCCCTGAGTTGTGGCCTGACCTGAGCCTGACAGCTTCGTAAGCGAGCAATTTGTGTGGTTTCGTTGAGGAGCCCAGGCGTTCGGGGTTTCGAGGAGATACTAGTATGCTTCCAAGGCCTTTAGGTGTCGGGATCTTGCACTTCAAAGATTTTTTTTGGTTGTGTGGGATCTTCTTGGAATTAGACGCATTGAAGCTACAGCAAGAGATCTCAATCATCTAGGCAGCGAGATGAATAACAAAAGCGGCAAAAGAAGTGGCGGCAGCAGCAGCAGCAAAGCAGTAGTAGTAGTAGTAGTAGTAGTAGTGATAGTGGTAGTGGTAGTGGTAGTGGTAGTGGTAGTGGTAGTGGTAGTAGTGGTAGTAGCAGCAGTAGCAGTAGCAGTAGCAGTAGCAGTAGCAGTAGCAGTAGCAGTAGTAGTCGTAGTAGCAGTAGTAGTCGTAGTAGTAGTAGTAGTAGTAGTAGTAGCAGTAGTAGTAGTCGTAGTCGCGAAGTAGTCGTAGTCGTCGTCGCGTGGTGGCTACAGCAGTGCCTGTAGTTGTAGTGGTGG